GAAACAACGTCGAGTAGCCAAACCATATACACTGGGAAACAGAAGAGACAGCGATGCCAAGACGATAATAACCTGACCACCGAGTCTAATCGAGAACACCAAACTAACCTCTGAAACCAACCAAAAGCACAGACCACAAGCAAACGCCTGAGACAAAAAAAAAGCACATCTCCTCGCCCAAAAGAACCCTTACTCATACAAGTAAAACAGAGCCAACAAGTAGGTCAGCTCAAAGGGACGAGATCAACAAGAACTGACCTTCAAGATAACAAAGAAGGAAACCCGCATCGAACATAGGATCCATACGGAAGGGCCTAAACCACGAACCRAGTCCAAAAACAAAGTCTCCACCCATCGACAACAAGGAGAACGCAGTGCTGGCTTGAACCATGAGCACCACCAACTGACCACACGGAGATCTCAGATCTCAATCCAGCCACAAGCCCCTTGCCGCCACCTAAACCACGAAGAGAAGCAATCGGCACCAGTGGCATAAACTCCAAGCGGAAGCCAAGCGAGAGGAGTCGCGAGCCCGACTAAACCGGACCAACCAAACCCCTCCCAACAAAGACCAGCACCGGAGAAAACAAACCCACCAGCCGGATCTCTACCAGATCCAAGTCCATCACCACCCCAACAAAATCCAGACTAAAAGAATCAGATCTAATCTCAACCAGTCCCCATAAAATCCGAAAATCACAACACAAGGAAAAGAAATCTAAGGCTACAAACACGGATCCGGCACATGTCGCTGTGGAAGCCGTCGTTGCCGGACCAAAATCGAGAAACCCCCAAAATTTGCTACGGTACTATCTCCTTGGTCGCCATAGATGCAAAGCTCCTCAAGATTTTGAGTTTTTGGTTTTAGATTGATTTCATAAAATAAGAAAAAGATGATGCTCAAACACACCGTTAGTTACATAATAAGAAACACAGTACTCATATATATATATTAGACACTTGTATGGAACCTAAACAATGGGCCTTCCTTCAACGTCTACTTGTTAGAACAATATTGGGCTTGGAGTAAGCTTCTCCTTACATAAACTTGTAAAACATTATATTTCTCTTCTTTTAAATAGTAAATATTAGAACCAAAAAAAACATAAATATATTGAGACATGACTCGGTTATGGTCACCCTAAGCTTTCTTTGATGTACTTCTTGTTTTTGGTAACTCAGGGTAAATTCCAGTCCTATGGAGAAATCCAAAGTAATTTATGGGGGAAGTACAACCCATGGATAGATTCTCTATCCGGATATGCAAATGGACCGAAATCAATGATCCATATATATGTGGATGTCCAAATCAATGTGTTTTAGTCTCGCGTAGCAGGTAGATCAAACTCGTAACGTATTGGCGTCACAAACCCGTATTCTCACCACACCACAAATCTCCGAACTTCTTTGAAGTACTTATCGGGATTTCGATATGAACAAGTCAATTTCTCTTGTTATTTTTCGTATTGTTTTTAGTTACAATTTGAATGCTAACTATTTTTTTGGTTGATGGATTTAATTTTGACGTTGACACTTTGATTAGATAGTTTAACCAATTGGAAGAGGCCAGACACTTGGAATATATATACATTTATAGGGAAGACTTTATGGGAGTAGACCTCTGCAGCCAATGATACTCTTACGATCATCTTACAAAATAGACACTTGAGTATTTTACCGAATTGTTGTATATACTAGCTAGAGATAGAAACAAAAGTTATAACCAAGTGGTGCCTATCTTTTTTTTTAAATGGTTTTTATTCATTGGTCGAGTTCATAAATTGATTCCTTTATAATTTATCTATTTCGCCACCGCGTAAGATAAGTGAATTTTATGTTAAATATATGAGAGACCAAGTATCTAAATGAATATAGTTCAGCAGTTTTGTTCCGCTGGTTTAGGTAATAGATTGGTTCATATTTGATGTGTATATTTAACCACTACGATTGACAAAACTGGTAACTCAAATAATTACTCGGATTTTATTTGATAAAAATATGAATTATATTGGCATAGTTAAAAAGTTTCATTATTCCCTAAAAAAGCATGAATGAAACATAGGAAGGTAACTAAGAGTCGATTTACTCATGTAATTGCTAACCAGCATGTAAACCAACTAGAATAAACTAAATATGTTGGACTTATCGATAAAGTTAAAGACCCATTCAAAATACGTTATGTTGGTTAATTAATAAAGAAATCATTAATAAACTACCACAAATTGTAAACTTATCAAAATTATCACAAGGACGTACGTCTATTAATACGTTAGATTAGCATTATACTATGTTTTAAGTCATCTCAACGAAAAGAAAGGGCCAGACAACAATCAACCAAACACTCTATTGCCTAAGAAAAAAAGGCTCTCCATGGCGGCTTCTTCGTCTTCTGGAGCAGGACGGATCTCAAAAGGCCCTCAAGTGTTCATCAACTTCCGCGGAGAAGAGCTGCGCACAGGTTTTGTGGACTATCTCGAGACTGCTTTGGAAGAAGCGAAAATCAACGTTTTCATAGACGACGACTTGGAGCTTGGCACGGAACTAAAGGACCTGTTCGTTAAGATCGAACAGTCAAAGGTCGCGCTGGCGATCTTCTCGAAAGAGTACTCTACTTCGGTATGGTGCTTGGACGAGCTGGTTAAGATAAAAGAATGTGTGGATAAAGGCAGTCTTATAGGGATCCCCATCTTCTACAAACTGAAGACTTCCGTCGTGAGCAATCTCGAAGGCAAATTTGGTGATAATTTCAGGAGACTGAAACGCAATCATCAGCACGATCTAGTCAAAACCGAGAAGTGGGAGAAAGCTTTAACGTCAATTCCTGACCTAAAAGGCATGCACTTGCCAGAAAAAAGGTTTTCCTTAGCCCTTTCTCTTATTTATTACTGAACGTACGTACCCAATCAAAACTTAGACTTGTAACACTGCATGGTGGTTTGCTTACTCTCTAGTGGTTGAATTGATCATTGCGTATATCTTTATGTGGCATGGCAGGCCTAGATGTTTACAGATCCTGGGATTAGTTTTGACTTTTGAGACTTTAGTAACATGTAACTCTATAGCTAGTAGGCCTGGGTGCGGATCAAATATCCGAAAAAATGCAGTATTTATGATTCGATTTGTTTTTGACAGATATCTAATTTTCTAATTTGCTTTGCTTCGGAAAATTTTGGATATCCGGAAATTTTCCGAAAATTTTCGGATATCCAGATCTTCAAACGAATATCTGTTTTAAACAAAAAAAACAAATTAAATACCATAATCTTTTTTTCAAAACAAAAGTTGTCATATAAGATTTAAACTAATTAATGAATAAATATATGAAATGAGTATAATTTTATTCGATAGAATTAAAAAAAAATTAAAATGATGAAAAATGAAATATATATTTTATATTTAAGAAATATATTTTAACTAAAGTTAGTATCTACCTATTTTTACTATAAATATAATCGCCAAATATATTTAAAAGTCAAAAAGTGTAAATATACTTTATAAATCTACAATATTATATATATAAGTAATATACCGATCGGATATTCGGATTTTTAAAATTAATATTTGTGATTTGTTCAGTTTAGACGGATACTAAATTTTAATATTTGCTTTGCTTTAATCCAAAACGGATATTCGGATTTTTTGGATTGTTTTAAAATGAATACCGAATCGGATCGAATTTAACGGATAATTTTCCCAGCCCTAATAGCTAGAAAGTTAAAACTTGCATTTGAGACTTAGTAACTTGTTTACAAGGTTTACATTATTCTGATTAAAATTAAGGCTGATGATGATGAAATTAATATCGTGTGTCCTATACTAATTAGTGTTTCATTTTAGTTTTACCTGTCAGTTGAGCCAGAATCTTGAAACTGTATATTTATTTTTCTCACTCTTAATTACCGTATATGATAGTGAGCGGTCCGACAGGGAGTTCATAAACTCAATCGTCATGAAAATTACGACAGTGCTGGACAAGATCCCAATGGAACGAAACACAGATAGTTCCATGATATATGCAAGGAAAATCGAGATCACTCATTCGGAGAAACCCGAAAATTGGACTTGGAGTTCAATTCAAGAGGCACCAAAGTAAGACTCTTTTTTGTTTAGGACTTTAAGTTCAATTTATAAACCTGTTAAATTTGCCTTTTTTTTTCTCTTGCTTCATTGGATTATTAATATTTTAGTAGATAACCGAAATACTTAGCTTATTTCGTATGGCCATATTATGATTTTTTTATTAAAAAAAAAAAGACATCGTCGAAATACATTTCAGCGAAGCACCCATTGAAATTGCAACACTGAATGAAGTTTACTGGATGGACATAAGGGGAAGTTCTTATACTAGGAAACTGACACCAGAAAAAAAGTACAAAGTTGTGTTCGTAGTGAAGTTAGAAGACAATGCAACTGGATGGGATGAGCCAGTGAATTTGAATATGAAGCTGGTCATGCGCGATAAAAGCGAGATTCTCCAAGAACAGACATGTCATTTGGACGACTTTATAGGTGACGAATGGGCCGAGGTTAAGGCTGGAGATTTCGTGGCCCCACCGAAGGACACACCAGCGAGGATCTCGTTCACAATGTTTCAATATGATGACACCATCCGGAAGACCGGGCTTGTGGTTAAAGGTGTTGCAATTCGTGAGGTGGACTAAGGACTAAAATGCTGAAGCAAAAGCATGTTTGATATTTCTATATTTATTTCGTTTCAAAATAAGGAAAAACTGATTTATGTTTTGGTAAACGGTGCATGTGTGTAAAAATTCTTGTTCTAACACAAGGTTCGAGCTTTGATTGTTTAAAATTCTTAATTGAAAT